AGTTTTTGAATTACAAGCTTTCTAGTATCGGACGTTTTTTGAGGAAAAAGATATTAAAAAAGTAATTAATTCAACCATCAAAAACACAAAGATAAAAAGGAGAGCAAACGATATTTTTTGATTCCAGTTCGTAGGTGAAATATGAAGGTAAAAATAAATAACAAAATTAAACGCAAATAAACTACCCGCAGCTTCTGATCTTCCAACCTGGGCTCTGAAAGATGGGTGAAAGATGGGAGCTTTCGATTCTATCAACCACGAACATTTAAAGACTAAACTGATAAATTTGGGATTCTCTGATTCAGCCATTGAAATGTTTCATAGCTCCATCAGCAATAGGCAACAAAAAACTGTTGTAATTATTACTGATTCCAATTGGATCCCACTTCACCAAGGCGTACCTCGAGGTACAACCTTGTGACCCCACAATTTCAACCAATACATAAATGACATGAACAAAAATTTAACCGAATCTTGCAAAACGCAGATGATACACTTCTATTTTGTGTTGATAATGACATCAAAAATTCCCAACTGCTGCTTAAAAAGTCCTCTCAAAATTTGTCTCTGTACTTTACAAAACATTATTTAAAACGCAATAAAAAACTTAGTTGATAATATTGAGCAGAAAATGTCAAGGCAGAAAACATAATCCAAAACTATAATTTTAGATGATAACAAAATAGAAGAAAAGCCAGAAAGTAAGTATTTTGGGGGTGATTCTAGATCAATTTCTAACCTTTCAGGGCGAAGTTTCAATCCTTTTATATGAAAAGGAGACTTTCAAGTGTTAATAAAAATGGCATGCAGGATCAAAACGTTACAATCGATTAAACTATTGTAACATTCGCCCGGAAGTACATACCGACGAAAAAAAGGCTAGGTTATGAAGTGACTGGCTAGCGTCTAAACACAACTTCACATGCTTTAAACCGTCTGTACCAAAGCCAGTTTCATGTATGGTACATTGAAATTGGGTCGACAAAGTTGTTACTATTTTGGGCTATCGGCCAGATCTCACATATTAACTTAGTTACATGCAAAGTATTGATCCCGTGGCTGGGTCTCAGTATCCCCAGACCACGAGGTCACTCCTAAAAACAGGGCTACTACTTATTTATTATTTTACTATTGTTTTTGTTCAGTAGAAAAAAATCATCATATCCCTCGGAGATGGATCTACCCTTTCCCTCAGTTCCTAGCTTCGCATACTCTGAAAATGAATTCGATTTTAATTAAATTCAACTCAGGACATACCAGGAAGCTGAAAAACGTTAAAATTGAGTTCTCAGTTTTTTCCCGAGACCCATCCGGATTTTTGAGTCCGGACGAAGTGCAGTAAGGTTGTCACTCGGGAAGGGTAGTAAAACCGTTACGATACCCCTACAAATTCTCGGGAATTGCTCCGTAACAATTGTGGCTACAATTCGGAATGCTCTTCTAACAAGAATATCGATCGTAGTTCCATTTTGTACCGTAGGTCTGTTTTCTACAAGCAAGAAACGTTGTTCTGTTGATTTTCGCTTTTTTTCTGAATTCGCGAAAACAAAAATGGTCACGTGTCTTTAAAATGTTTGTTTTTTTTTTTAATTTCAAATTTCAGCTAAAACCGACCCTAAGAGCAGTACCGGGACAGGAGGAGGGTGGAGTTGCCTTTTTGCAGGACAACTGACAGCTGTTGCATGAGATAGCAAGCAGTTTGCCCGGGTTTGGTACAGGCAGAGTGCGCTGCTGCCATTGAAGCAATGCGACGAATGGTTTTAGCGGCAATGGGCGACCAGCCCCCAAAGGCCTCGACAGAGAGAGGCACAAACGAGATGGCAGCTTCTTCGCACGCGGAAAAGTGCTTTGTGACCTTTCGCTCGTCGGATAATTCGAGGGCGTGGCCGGCACTAGTTCCAGCACTTTGTAAAGTAGATGACTGCAGGGAACTAATGACGGTCATGTCCAGAGCGGCTGGACGACCTCGGTACCAACAGGGAAGATAAGTGTCTCCCGGGCGAGAGCGAGAAGAAGTGAGATTGGCTTTTTCTAAAACGGGGGAGAGAGCTGCCTTAGCGGCGCTGTTGAAAACGACATCGCGCAGTCTGTCATTGCGCGATATGCGGTCTCCGTCGGCTGCGCATGCGAGGGCGTGACAGCCAAACGTATCTAGAGTCCTGGAAAATTTTGGGCACGTAGACTCGCTGCTGAGTAGGGGAACTCCGAGACGAAACCAAACTGCAAACCGAAACTCGGCTGCCGGAAGGGTTAACCCTAACGCCTTCAGAGGGACTGCCGAAAGCCAATCACCACTGTTGGGGAGCAAACAGGTAAGCAGTCTGGCTCTGTCTCGGGGTGTAGAGGCGGATGACATGAGCTCGGACAAAAACTTGGAATCAAGTAGGCTTGAAAGTTTCATTTGTGCTTTGGGGGGCCATGAAAAGAATGTCAGCGTTGTCACTGAAAAACTCGGGGGAGGACGATAACAATTCAGCACGGTGGAGGGCACCGTTGTGTTCTGAAAGATCCGGTCAGAGAGATATTTGATGTCAATGTAGCACCCAAGGAAGGCCACTGGGGCGATCGAAGGAGAAACTGGAAGCCCGAGGCCAGCTTTAGCCACAGGCAGTGAACACTGCAGGCGTTGAGACGGCGACAGGGCTGAACCAGTAATGGACTCGAGACATAAGTGAACGGCATTGTCAAACTGAACTAGACAGGTGCTAATGGAGAAGGGATCGCAAGCCCGCATGCTGAATGTGATTTTGGGAAGAGCTGCGAAGCTTCTCAAAAGATGTAATTACAACTGAGGATCTTCCAAGAGACGGATGGATTCTATAAAGTTTTCGCACTTTTCTACTATTTTCAGGAACAGGGCTTGGATAAAGTCGTCGTTAGTCAAAATGGCAGCGCCCAGGTTCTTCAAACCACTGCTCCGAACGGTAATGGCATTAGGAAGAGCACTAAAATCCAGTTTGGGGTTGGGAGACCAAGCTTCACGTTTCTCAACGCTGACCTCCAAGCCGACTTTAGCCATAGACGAAAGCAAATGCGGAAAAACCTGAGCAAGAAGATTAACATCGTCGACGAGGGAACCATCGTCAAGGTAGCAGACATTAGAGGCGAGATCAGTAAACTGGTTCTTGAGAGCTGCAATGATGGGATAAACAGTAATGGCAAACAAGAGAGGAGCCAGTGGGTCACCTTGCTGGACGCCACACGCGGATAGCACAAGGGAATAACCAAAGTTCAGCCAGGATGGTTGGCTGTAGCAGTAGTTGACCCACCGGAGAAGCTCTGGAAACTGGTCAGCAAGCTGCCGAAGAATAGAGGACGGGTCGAGGGTGTTAAAGGCGTTTTTCAGATCGACCTGGGGAATAGCCAAAGAAGTAGTGTCACCCACGGAAGCAACGAGCCCGTTCAGCGCGTGAGGAACGGCTTCACAGCCACCAGGAACGCCCACTCCGACCTGAAGAGGAACGAGCAAAGAGGCGGCTTTCTGGCTAGAAAGACGACAAAGGCACTTGGCAACAAGTCTGCGCAAGATCTCACCAACTGCTATGGGTCTTATGCTACCATCTTTTTTCTTCCGCGCAAGAAGACCGGCTCCGCATAAGTAGGGAGCAATGAAGATAGGAGCCTCACCACGAGCAAGAAGATTGACAACCTCGAGAACGGCAGAGATGGCCTGATCGCCGTAACCGGGTGAAGGGCAAAGAAAAGCATTAGACAAGTGTGTGGCATAAAATTTGGAGACACCTGCAGCAGAGTCTTTTAGAAAATTTTTAACACAGTTGATATATATATCACGGAAATTGCTGCACGGGATAAGATCTGGAGGAGGCTCGGGAGAAAGCACGGCAGTGACTGCAGGAGGATGTTTTTCTTGCAGGACCGAAAAAGCCGCGTCATCAAAGCTAAAACTCTCTGGGCAGAGATCGGCAATGGCTTTACGGTAACTTCCTTCATGGTCAAGTTGCCTAGCGCGTTTAACATCGACTTTCCCGGATGGGAGGAGCTTAATGACGAGAGGCTTGACCGTTACGCCACCTGTTCAACCTGGACTGAACATTGTTTTCTTCGTATCGCAGATGCTTAGGACCACCGCGGGGAGGAGCACGCAAAACACACTGGCTGAGGATAAACAACTCAATCCAGTTGTCGGTAACCGAAGGATTGTTCTTAATTTTTGCGTAAGTCGAAGAGACTACTCTGGCCCAAAGGTTGCGACAGGTGACAGGAACGTGCTTTCTAGTTGGGATCGAAAGTTATCTATGTCTGCCAAGGAAGGAAGGGGCAGCTTGGTGGCAAGATTCCTGGGTTTGTGACGGAAGCCATCGCACTTTGAACCCTGATGCTTGTGGGACTTGACCAACCCCGAAGCACAAACTCCTACCTGCAACAGACAAACGGGGCACCCCATGCGGGGTTCAATAGCAGAAGGAGAAGCACCGTTAAAATCAACAGAAGGAGAAGCACCGTTAAAATCAACATTAGAAACAACATCAGAAACACTATTAGAAAGATAAGCATTGACAGAACTAGAGTTTGAAAGCAAACCGTAGCTTGGCGGTGAGTCTATATTGAGAGCATCCATGTAGTGGGTGAGGCTAGTGTGCGGGATGGCTGCTTGAACGTCTATCGTGAGGTCCTCCATGCCTTGGGTAAAGCTGCTGTGAGACTGAACTGGAGCTCGCTCCACTAGCAAACCCGTTGGTCGCTGATTGTTGCGAGGGGAAGACCATTGCTGGTTGCCAGGCTTCCACTCGACCAGGATCTGCGGGTCATTTGCGTCCAGTACCCGGGTCGCTGTTCAATCCTGTAAATCCGGTGGAATTTTCTTCTACGGTTCGTTTGTGCCAGACATCAAGAGACACCAAAACTGACTCAAAATACCGTGGACTTGGATGGGAGTGTCGACCAATGTTTAACACAAGGTTTGGAGAGTGAGGGTTGAATCAATCAGTAGAGTCGTCGATTAGTTTTCACCAACCATCCCTCGCGGGCTCATCCCTGAAACTATTTAATAAGTTTATAGCTAAAAACAAAAATTTCAAAGTGCTAATTGTTGTGATGAACTTATTAAACAGATTTGGTATGTTTGATGTTTGTGCCTGTTTGTGGAGCGCCCTTAGAGATTTAGAGATTAAGGGATTTTAGAGACAGGTCTGTCAAGTGGCTTTTTGTGGGGAGGTGGGAATCTGTAACTGGCTTGAAGAGTCTGGTGGTGCACCGCTGGAGCTACTGAGCTCGGGTGAGATTGTTTCTTGTTTTTGATTTTAATAATTCAATTTTAAAAGTTAAAATAATTTAAATATCTTTTGATTTTTTTATTTGCTGATTTAAAAAAATCCCACTAACCTCTTATCATGGGTTAGTTCAGTCCCCTAAATTCCAGTCAAAATCCTTTTTTTACCATTATGCTGCGTCAAGATGAGGAAAAAGAACAAAGAGTGTACAAGCAAAGATTGATTAAAACCTTCAGGACTGATAAATTGAATTGGATTAGATGTGATTGTTGTTCTAGTTGGTATCATATCAGTTGTGTATATACTTCTCTTAGCGACTCTAAGAAAACCCAATGGTTTCAGTGTCTTTCATGCGTTGATGTAAAATCTGTTAAAATAGCAACAATAGGTAATGAATTAGTGCTAGACAATTTCATTAATACAGCCATCTCAAATGTCCGAGCACTCAAGAGAGTACCAAAAAACTCGCATGTTCCTTTGGCGGAAAGTCATTCGGACAAAATAAATGACATCGTCTACAATGTAGAAGATGTTACAAACTGGCTAAAAAAATTGGTATAGTTACTCCCATGGCGCGTATGGTAAACCTAGTTACTTTTTTACGGAAGCTCTGTCAATGTCAAATGACGGAACTCAGCAAGGTGATCCTGAAGCCCCACCTCTTTTTGCGGAAACAATTCATACACTAGTCCAACAGTTGGAGTCGAAAATTAAAAATTGGTAATTTGATGACGGAAACTTAGCCGGCGACTATAAGGTAGTACTCCGGGACCTTCAAATCATTCTGAAATCCGAACAAATTTACGGCCTGAGCTTGAACACTGAGAAGTGCGAAGTGTTTTTTGGGACCGACTACTAGTCCACATTATAATTCAATTTTAACAAAAAAAATATGTCCCATAATTTGAAAGCAAACCGTAGCTTGGCGGTGAGTCTATATTGAAAGCATCCATGTAGTGGGTGAGGCTAGTGTGCGGGATGGCTGCTTGAACGTCTATCGTGAGGTCCTCCATGCCTTGGGTAAAGCTGCTGTGAGACTGAACTGGAGCTCGCTCCACTAGCAAACCCGTTGGTCACTGATTGTTGCGAGGGGAAGACCATTGCTGGTTGCCAGGCTTCCACTCGACCAGGATCTGCGGGTCATTTGCGTCCAGTACCCGGGTCGCTGTTCGATCCTGTAAATTCGGTGGAATTTTCTTCTACGGTTCGTTTGTGCCAGACATCAAGAGACACCAAAACTGACTCAAAATACCGTGGACTTGGATGGGAGTGTCGACCAATGTTTAACACAAGGTTTGGAGAGTGAGGGTTGAATCAATCAGCAGAGTCGTCGATTAGTTTTCACCAACCATGCCTCGCGTGCTCATCCCTGAAACTATTTAATAAGTTTATAGCTAAAAACAAAAATTTCAAAGTGCTAATTGTTGTGATGAACTTATTAAACAGATTTGGTATGTTTGATGTTTGTGCCTGTTTGTGGAGCGCCCTTAGAGATTTAGAGATTAAGGGATTTTAGAGACAGGTCTGTCAAGTGGCTTTTTGTGGGGAGGTGGGAATCTGTAACTGGCTTGAAGAGTCTGGTGGTGCACCGCTGGACCTACTGAGCTCGGGTGAGATTGTTTCTTGTTTTTGATTTTAATAATTCAATTTTAAAAGTTAAAATAATTTAAATATCTTTTGATTTTTTTATTTGCTGATTTAAAAAAATGCCACTAACCTCTTATCATGGGTTAGTTCAGTCCCCTAAATTCCAGTCAAAATCCTTTTTTTACCATTATGCTGCGTCAAGATGAGGAAAAAGAACAAAGAGTGTACAAGCAAAGATTGATTAAAACCTTCAGGACTGATAAATTGAATTGGATTAGATGTGATTGTTGTTCTAGTTGGTATCATATCAGTTGTGTAAATACTTCTCTTAGCGACTCTAAGAAAACCCAATGGTTTCAGTGTCTTTCATGCGTTGATGTAAAATCTGTTAAAATAGCAACAATAGGTAATGAATTAGTGCTAGACAATTTCATTAATACAGCCATCTCAACTGTCCGAGCACTCAAGAGAGTACCAAAAAACTCGCATGTTCCTTTGGCGGAAAGTCATTCGGACAAAATAAATGACATCGTCTACAATGTAGAAGATGTTACAAACTGGCTAAAAAAATTGGTATAATTACTCCCATGGCGCGTATGGTAAACCTTGTTACTTTTTTACGGAAGCTCTGTCAATGTCAAATGACGGAACTCAGCAAGGTGATCCTCAAGCCCCACCTCTTTTTGCGGAAACAATTCATACACTAGTCCAACAGTTGGAGTCGAAAATTAAAAATTGGTAATTTGATGACGGAAACTTAGCCGGCGACTATAAGGTAGTACTCCGGGACCTTCAAATCATTCTGAAATCCGAACAAATTTACGGCCTGAGCTTGAACACTGAGAAGTGCGAAGTGTTTTTTGGGACCGACTACTAGTCCACATTATAATTCAATTTTAACAAAAAAAATATGTCCCATAATAAAAATAAAAACAAAGGAAGAACTCCTCATTTTAGGATCTCCAATCGGCGAACTTTGCCAAAAAGAATTGCTCGACGAAAAAATTAAGGAACTTGAAAAAATCTCGGATGTCATTGACGTACTAGACGCCCATTATGGTTTTTACCTCCTGCAAAATTGCTTTAGCATGGCAAAACCTCTATATTTTTTGCGTACGAGCACTTGTTTTTTGCAAAATGATGCAAAATGATTTTTTGGAACGCTACAACAATTTTTTAAGATATTCGTTATGCAAGGTCACTAACGTGAAAATGGATGATAACCAGTTTTTACAAGCAGTTCTCCCGGCAGCCAAAGGTGGTTTGGGCATTGTGTGGCTTGGGTGGCTCGTTTACTCGCCTGTACCCGTTTTCTTAGCCTCAGCAGTAGGAGCAAAAGATGCCTTGAGCGAAATCTTTGGTTTGGAGCATGTGGATTGTGCCAGTCAGTCATATCTGGAAGTTTGACCTTGAGGAAAACGAAATACGTAGTTTTGGGATGAAGTTTAATTTTTCAAAAATTCGAATTGAGCCTGTCATGCTCAACTTTCTCGCGACAACTGAAAACATCAGAAATAAAATCAGAACGACAAAACTGCAATTGCGGGAAAGTGGCAGAAAAAACAGCGGGAAATTGCTATTCGCAATTTCCGAGATTCTAGTAAAAAACACGAGAGTAGAGCTGTCCTATCTTGATATAGGAGACAGAGTAATCAAGAGAGCAGATCGAAATCCAACTGAACCAGAGTGAACCTTCAGTGGAAAGGTGGACAACTGAAGTCTCCCAACGGTTCAGACCCCAAAACTATATTCTCAAGTTAAAACTCATTTCCTTTGATTGGAATTCATTGATAGCAAACTTCTCAAGTTTTTTTCAATCGTATTTATGCTAGAGTTACTGATTAGCTTAATTACTCTCATTCTCAAGTGTACTGCTATGTGAGTACCTAATTCATTTTCCCGAGTGTATTTTGTCATAGTTTTGTTGAGATAGAGCGAGTTTTAGGTTGATCCATCTGAAATAGATCAAAGTTCCACTGTCCAATAAAAAGTAATTTAACGGATTGTTTCGACCCTGTTTTTAACGGCGCTCGTGTATTTTGGGTTATTTTGAGACCTAAGTATGGGGACGTTCTTATTTTTTAGAGTGGAGGGGGTTTAGTAGTGGGTTTTAAGCTGTAACGGGTTTCAGTCTCATGTCGCAAGTGAACTGAATTGGTTCCGACCGTTTTGAGGTAGAAAAACACAAGAGATAGTGTCCCTGACTCCTGAGCCAATGGTTATAGGGCCTATTTTTCTGTAACATTCGTCTACTGCAGTCACACATGAGGCTTAAGAAAAATAGGCCCTATAACCACTGGCTCAAGGGTCAGGGACACTATCTCTTGTGTTTTTCTACCTCAAGAACGGTCGGAGCCAGTTCGGTTCGCTTGTGACATGAGACTACGACCCGTTACAGCTTAAAGGCTACTACTAAAATATCCCCCCACTCTAGAATTAGAAACGTCCCCATACTTAGGTCTCTAGATACCCAAAATACATGAACGCCGTTAAAAACCGGGTTGGAACAATCCGTTAAGTTACTTTTTATTAGACAGTGTAACTTTGATCCATTTCAGATGGATCAACCCAAAACTCGCCTTACCTCAACATAACAATCGTAAAACACACTCTAGAAATTTAAATTAAGGACTCACATGTTGATGCGCTCAAGAACCAGGAAGTAATTAAATGGGTGAGCAACTCTAGAATTAACTAAAGTAACTAGATAAGTTCAATGTTTATCAGTTTGAATGGTAAGGGTAAGTTTGAACTCAAGAACGAAGTTTTATGTGGACCATTGGGACACTCAAGCTGTCCACCTTTCCGTCGAAGGTTCACTCTGGTTCAGTTCGAATAATTACTCTCTCGGGAATACTCTGTCTTCTATTTCAGATAGGACAGCTCTACTCTTGTTCACTATGATGGAAATTGCGAATAGCAATTTCCCACTCGTTTTTTATATGACAACTTTCCCGCGTGTGTGACTCAATTGTTCTCCTTTCTTTTTCTGATTTTCAGTTCTCGCGAGAAAATCGTGCATGACATGTTCCATTCGAAATTTTAAAAATTTAAATTTCACTCCAAAATCAAGTGTTTTCTGCTCTTCTCAAGGTCAAACTTCCAAATATGACCGACTGGCACATACTCCCCGGACTCGAGATCGATGTCCTCATCGCGCGCTGTCTTCTGCCAGTGAGTCCCAGAAAAACCGAGTGTT